GAGTGTCGGGAAAGGATTTAGGTTCCCGTACCACCTGTAAAATTTTTATAAACCTTCGTGATATCGCCTATCTCGGCCAAATGGAAATCAGTACCGTGGGTTCCGCGGGTCCCGATATCCCGCATCCATCTCTAGTTTGAACCCTAAAATATCTGTTCAGCCGGTTCCATCTCTAGTTTGAACCCTAAAATATCTGTTCAGCCGGTTTAAAAATGCCCAATCTCCGACTTCATTTAAAAAACGTCCTATCTCAACTGAAAATTTGTTCATATAGTGCGTTTTTTAAGTGAGAGCTGAGATAGGGTGTTTTTTGACCGAATTCTTTACTTTAGTTTTTACAAACTATTTAGCACACAGCCGCTGTGGTGTAGTGGTAAGCAGTGCGCGCTTCCATTCCGCAGGGCCTGAGTTCAAGCCCTGGTCAAAGCAACATCGCTTCTCATAAAAATGCAATCGCCGTTCGGAGTCGGCGTGAAACTGTAGGTCCTGTCCGTCGACAACCATAAAGGCCGAATATCTAACAGATGCTCGCTTTTCATTGGTCCTCACTGACCACTCTCGATTTATGGATGATTTAATAAAATAAACACTCAATTGTTATAGTTACATATGCACATATGCATGTCCATTTTAATAGATTGCTCCTTTCGAATACCATCGAACTTCTTTTGTTGGAATCTTATTTCCTTCTAAAAAAAATCTGGAGCCTCAACGTCCACAGGCACATCCACTGTATATTCATTCAGACGCCGTGAATGCGCGAGCCGATTAACTGGATATACAATACTAACATCAGCACAATTGACGAATGTTTCCTGCGGCCCACAGCCCATAGCACTTGTACCATTCCCACAAGGGCCCCAGTTGTTTCCTAGAATATGGTATAAGAAGAGTTTTCTTAGATTCACCATTTTTCACATATGATTCATTGCATTTTGCAGCTACATTGCAAAATAATGTAACTCACCACCAGTATAGGTCCAACGGAGCACACAATGTTCGCAGTTCAAGTTTTCAGATAAAACTAAGTCTGCATCAATCCAGCCGCTCGTACTGCCAATATACATTCGACTCGAACCATCAACGAAGCGCAGCGAATGTTTGCTAAAGCAGTCCTCCGATTCTGCGCCAAATTCAGTCAAATCGCAGATATCAAAACGAAAATAGCCTAAATGATTTGCGGTGATGCGTATCCCTACTCTAGCGGTATAGGAATCGTGAAATGCTTTCGTTATTACGCCAACACCGCCGTAATAACCACCAATTTCGTTGGCTCGTGGCGTTGACAAGGCATAGTTATCTCCACATAGCCCACATTTGCCGTTATTTGTGTTCCATTGCACCTGAAGTATACATATACATACACACATACATATGTACTTTCAAAATATTTTATCGGACCGGTTTCGGCTTTTGATTTCAAGTAAATTTTTGAATACGAGTAATATTTAAGTAAAAGACACCAACCGACTTAAATGCTCTTATACAAATTTAGGAGTACTCTTAGTTTCTTCATGACCCAAGGATCGGAAATAAACGAATTTAGTATGGGACAACTCTTAAGGTACACCCTTTCCAATAAAAAATGGATTATCGAAGCCAGTTCATGGGGTCCAAAGTTATTCAGTAACATACTTAAAAAAAAAGGAAGTTAAAAAAATCCGAAGGATTAATAACCTCCACTTTTTTTGCAGTTGGATACATATCGTTAGTATAGTATGGAAAGGGCGTAACTCACATCATCGCTGAAATACAAAAAGCCGCAACTAAGTAACTAAAAATACAAAATTAGCTTTTTGACTGATTATGATGCATTTCATCGAATTATAAGTCCCCAAATCGTTTTGTGCAATAAAAAATTTTGACGATATTTATCTCAGCTAGCCAAATGCGGAGCGCAACACCTTGAATGGGCGTTTTCGGAGCGCTCCCAGTATGGAGTGAAAAGGGACTCGAATGAGTATGTATGTATGTATCAGAAAAGCAAAAACCAACTGCATTGAACGTAGTAAATTTTTAAGTCCGGCACATGTACGAGAAACACATGTACGAGTCCACAGGGTGCACAATTAGGACTCCCTGTGCGGTGCGCTAATGCTCCTAGGGCTCCTTAAAAGGGTAATTTCAGAATCCCTCACCCAGTTAATCCGGAAAGACTCCGTGCGGACTCCCCTATTCACCCAGAATTGTTAAAAGGACTTTAAATCATTCGATGATTACCAAGACCGAGTGTTTTGGGAGTGGTGCGATAATAGACCGGAAAGAAGGCTTTACGGTTTTGCAAAACGCTCCTAATTTTGTTTATAATTAATAAGCATTGACGTTTTCTCTTCTTTTTAATGAAAATATGTTAAATTAAAAAATTATTTGCATATTATCTAGTAAAAATCACATAAAAACGAAAAAATCATGAAATAAATAAAAAAAAAACTTGTTTTATCTTGTTTAAAAGGCGTTCCTTTTAGGTTTGAAACCACTGCGCCGCCCGCTCTATGGAATTCTTTGAATTGAAATTTTAGTCAATATCTCGCAAACTAAAGGAGATATACAAAAACTGATAACACCAATCAATAGATCTTATTATCCAGGCGACGTTAGGAGCTCGGAGCTTGTGCCCGAAATCGAACATTTCTATAAGCTGCGTATGTATGCTGGTAGGCAAAAAATCGGCATTTGAATTAGTTTTGCCCTTTTTCTTTTATTATTATTTTTTTATTATTAAAGTATATCTCACTAACACGAACCGCGTAAGTCAAAATTTTAAACTTTGTACAATATTTATAAAAGCTCGACGAATTTCACAAAATGGTCATCAAAATTTCATGTTCTATATTTTCCTCCTTATAACCAAATTGTCGAACATACTTTGTATGTAAGAAAATACATGAAATTGTCACCAAAAAAAAAAATGCCAAGAATCAACGGCATGTCATAAGATTAGTGATTAAGAAATTTGAAATTTTGATGGAATTTTATAGAATTTTCCCAACTTTTTTAAAAAGTTAAAATTTCAGACTTACATAGTTTTGGTTAGTGAGTGAGCTATACTTTCATAAATAATATATGTATATAAAATATACAATAAACATGAAATAAAGCAAAGAAATATAGCCAAAACTTGTTAAAATGTCGCTTTCCATTTTATTTTCCTGCCACTGTATGTCGTTTCCGTTTTGATGATCGAACTCAAAACCTATTGGCAGTATTTCACGCACTATTTCGTTCGACTTACACTACAACAGAATTACTTATATTGGAGCATCGGTTCCTTTGCCGGACAAAAATATATTCTTTTTCATCTTACAAAAAACTATTCGAATTTCACTAACGGCTATTTTAATAATCTGTGTACATATGTACATACATACATACATACATATCGTCGTTTAAAGTGCAAAACCGCGTATCAACAAAATGCAAAACCGCGTATGTGAAGTTGTAGAAATTATTTTCTAGAGTGTAAAAACACTCATATTTCAAAATTATTCTCTTTTCTATAATGCAATCGCATATCTGCCTAGTATATTTGAGGACGAATGGATAAGGATTGAGCCAAGAGCTTGTGTGAGCAAATCCAATTTTTGGCAGCCAATGTCAGTTACGCGGTTTTGCAGAATGACGATACGCGGCTTTGTACTTTAAACGACGATATGTATATTAAATATTATTGCCAATCCGCTGTTCTTACCGTCATGCCACCACAATTTAATCCATTGTCATCATAGTTTTTCGGCGCAGAAGCGTTATAGCGCCAACGCGATGAACGACTCGGTGGATCCAGCATCATGCCATGCCCATTCACCAAATTAATGCACAACCATGGCAGAAAAGCCAAAACAATGAGCATGCCCTGCTTGTAGTCCTTCATTATGCTGGACATCAACAATCAAAACATATATGGACTACAAGTTGCAAATTCGTAAGTATTTTTAATTTCACGAACCGGATTCTGCGACCCTTGATGTACTCTGGTTTGTTGTTCACGATTGATTGCGACTAGCGTTGTGGATGAGCATTTTTTATACACATTTATTAAAGACAACACTTTTTACGAGTCCAATCACATTATCAGCAGCCCCCAGGCTAATGGTGCTGATAAAACAAAAAAAAAACGGTGGCCTTATCAAAAGACGCTGTGCTGCAATTCACTCATACTGGCGCGCATACGCATAATAGGAAAGAAAGCCGTATAATGGGATATACATATGTATGTACAAAAGAACTCTTAACGCATACCTACAAACATACAAATGTATGCACATTAGGCTGTACCAGAATCTGAAGGGAAATTGTGAGCAATGTACACCCTCTTAGTTGTTACTTTTTGGTCTAAATAACGAAGAAAGATTTATTGCTGTAAAATACCGAAAACCCGTTCGCCCTGAAAGTTCAATTTTCAATTCCACTGTGTCCGATGATACCGAATCTCTCTCTAGCCCGTTATGGCATATCTTGACCTTCAACAACTTTCGAGAAGCTCCTGGGTAGGCTTCACTTTTTTATAAATCTTACTCTTGTATATATATACGGGTCTACTATCGTCGCAGCAAACTTATGTATGTACCCCTAAAGGGCCGTTGAATGTATATGATGAGCCCAGATCTGTGTTATCTCAAAATATCGAGTGTTTTACGTTTCACTGATCCCAGATCTCTCCAATTAATTTCAAGGGTATGTGTAACGAGATTCCCAAATTAATTTTTTTCTGACCCACCCTAATGTATATACTTCTCCAGGTAATCACTGTATGCGTAAATTTTTAGGTTTTATTATCTTCACTGAACATAACGCAACTTTATTTACGCAAATGCATTTGTATTTATTTACATATGTGTGTGTGTATAAAAAATGTTGTTTTGTAATTGTCGGTGAACACTGTAAAGTTGGTAACTGAAATCCACATTCTTCATGCAATATTACAACTGAGATAATTAGTATCACTGATAAAACAACAAATCGTCAGAAGAAGTGGCATAACACAGAAATAACACACTTCCCAATTAACTTTTATTATTTTGTGATTTATTGGTAAAATTGTTTACTGTCCCTCCAAACTACAAACGAAGTGTGTGTTGTTTGATCACACAGTAAAAAAGGAAACTAGCAAAGAGAAAGCGCTTACAAATTATATTAAAAAAGGAACAGTAAAACCTAAGAAATACATATAAACGTATATATATATGAATGGTCTTGCATATTTTTTTTTTTTTGATATGCTGTTAATAAATTAAAAGTTGCATATTTCAAGTAGCATGCTTATTTATACTAGATCTCTCAAGATATTTGATATGGTAATAGTAAAAAAGCAAACCGGGCTTTGCAATTGTGGTGTGTCCAAGCGTCATTAGCTGGAGAAAAATGTGCTATTACACCATGTCAATGGCTGGAAGCTTAAAAAATGGAATCCATGTATGTATCTCAGCTATTAAATTTCCGTGCGCCTTCTTTGTCTACTTGTCTAATATGTGTCTTGTCACTCTACAAACTCCGTATGTTTCCATTACTATTCTTCTACTTCTTTAAGCCCTGTACGAAATTTGTCACATCGTATTCCTCATCGTACTGCTGTTCCGACCATAGCTCTGGCAAATTTTCGATGATTGCATTCATAGACATTGGTCCACCACTGCCCGCATTCGATGCTGGCGCACCATTTGCTCCCTCTTTGTCATTGCCATTTGGATTAAATAAATCGAAGAGCTGTGCTGTGCCCATTGTATCCAACGAGGCGTTCTCTGAACTGACCACGGTATTGGCGGTGAGGATTTTAAACTTTTGTAATCCCATTATTTTCTCTTCGAGTGTTTTTTGAGTTATCAACCGATATACATTCACCACTTTCTTTTGGCCAATACGATGCGCACGATCCATGGCTTGTAGATCCTTCATTGGATTCCAGTCGTGCTCGACAAATATGACTGTGTCAGCGCCAGTCAAATTCAAGCCAAGTCCGCCGACCTTGAGTGCGAAGATAAAAGAGAGTTTGCTAGATGAAGAACAAAATTACATACATATATTTTATTTGAGTTTACCTGTGTGGTGAGGAGTAGCACATCGATACTCGGATCGGTGTTGAAGTTGTGCACAATGTCTTGACGCAGTGATGCCGGCACGCTGCCGTCTAGGCGTAAGTAAGACACCGTTGGCAAATGTTTGCGCAACAAATCGTGTTCCACTATATTTAACATGGCCTTTAGTTGACAGAAAATAAGCGCACGATGTTGACTGACCGATTCAGTTTGGACGCCAATGCCGCAATCGAGCAACAATTGTCTGGAAAAAAAAAAAAATTAATGATGATCATTAAATCGAGCACTCAAGTATAAACTATAAACGTACAGCAGTAAAAATAATTAATTAGTTAATTGTTTTCTCACTCACTTCAGTGCTGGCAATTTCGCCGAGTGCTCTATATCATCAAGTGAGCTCTGCTGTTGCTGCAACTCCTGCGCAATCTTTGCGTACTCCGAATGCTTTGGTGTCAACACCAATTTCGGGTGATTGCAAACGTTTTGTAAATAACGCAAATCGTGGAAAATGTGAGCCTTCTTGCTGATGGTATCACTCTCACCCAGGCTATCCAAACAATCCTTCCAATGTGAATTCAAATGTGTACGACTGAAGTCCTCATATAAACGTTCTTGCAACGGACTCAATTCGCACAACAAGTCTTGTGTGATTTTAGGTGGTAAATCGGTCAACACATCCTCCTTCACGCGACGCAACAAGAATGGCAATACCTGGCGATGTAATGCCTCCATTGCTAAGACGCCAGCTTCCTGTTCCTTGGAGGAACTCTTTGAATCGCGGGAAGCTAATATTGGCCGACTGTAACGCGCAATAAATTGTTTCTCAGTGCCAAGAAAACCAGGCATCAGGAAGTCAAATAGGGACCAAAGCTCCAATACATTGTTTTGAATAGGCGTACCAGAAAGTATTAGCCGATGTCTGGCCTTAAGCATTTTAATGGCCTTCGAACTTTTTGTCTTGCCGTTCTTTATAATATGACCTTCGTCCAGCACACAGTAGTTCCAGTTTATATTGCTGAAGAAATCTATATCCTTTCGTACTGTGTCGTATGATGCCACGACCAGATTACACGGCCCAATTTGGCAGCGCAGTTTTTCACGTCCGATAGGCAAACCTACGTAATGTAGTGGACGTAAAACTTTCGATTTTTCTAGGAATTTTTCCACCTCATAGACCCAATGACCTGTGAGCGTCGGTGGACAAATCACTAGGCTTGGCAGTGATGCTTCTCTGTCCATAGTGCGCTGGTAGTGTTCGCCTGCGAGAATACAAATAGTTTGAAGTGTCTTACCCAAACCCATGTCATCGCAAAGAATGCCATGCAAATTGTATTTGTTCAAAAACCATAGCCAGTTAACGCCTGCTTGTTGGTAAGAACGAAGCTCTACCGATAAGGGTATCGGTACTTTGTAGTCGGGTATAGTCTTTGGCGTGAATAGGTAATCAAGAAATTCGCGATCGCGTATCTTTCGCTCCTGTAACTCAGCGGAAGGAATCTCATTCTTCATTGACTTGCTACGCGAATCTAATGGCATAAGTTGAACAAGTGTGGCAAAGCAGTGCGTGGAAAGCAAACGTACAGATTCATCGGGATCGCTCATGCAACCTGAAAGGTGGAAACACACAGAATTGCATATGGAATATTTGAAAGTTAATAAATGAAGCTTACCCAACAAAGGGACGACTAGAAGCACTATATAAGGTACAATGCGCAATTGTAGCTTGTCGACAACACGTTCAATAGCTTCGATGGCACCCTGACGCTGTATCACACTGTCAACTTTATCCAGCATGCCTAGTAGCTTATCCAGGACAAAGTGCATTGTGCGTATCAAATCGGCAGTGGCGAGCGAGGCAATGCAACGAGCCACCATGTGACGGACCTAAGGGAAATTGATTTATTCGATTCCAAAACCATATTACAGCTAAGAATCTTCAGAAGCACGTCACATAGAATATCGGTTAAATAAGTAAAGTTGGTTTCGGTATTATAAAAACATGAAGTGTCGAAAACGCTCTACGTATGTTCAGTTTGTCTTTTAGGCTTAGTGATTTCACCTAATTTACTGTGACTAATTCTCCCTACGCTACTTACCGCTTTTATTGGATGAGTAATAAGCACGCTGAAATGCGGTAGCAGATCGAAGAGACGTTGAAATGGGGCACCCTGAGCGTTAATTGTGCCGGAAAATTTTATAAAATATGGTGCTGCGATTTCAATTAACTGTAAAGATGTCATTAAATCATTTGTATTTGCTAAATCTAGCGGAGCATCTGATAGTAATTCCATATTCGGATAAGCTGTTGTAAATTCCTCAATTTTAGCAAACAAAATTTGCTCGAAAACCGGCATTTTGGAAAAGATCTCTACTGAGAAGCTTAGGCAAATTTTCGATATGGCACAAGAGGCGCCCAGGCGTTGAACGCGGAACTGTTTTAATTCCTGTAAGGAAGCGGTAAAACTAAAATATTGAGATTTATTTGATTTTCATTACACTTACCGCCGCGTTTACTGCATTGACACCATTTTCCGCTGCGGCATTCGCTTCACTTAGTGGCGGCCTACCTGGGCCACGTGAGCCACTCGGTCCCCCAGCACCACCACGACTACCTGCACTTCCAATTTGTGCATTATTTTGTTGCAAATTTAATGTTAAAATGCCGTAATAAACGCAGTTATTCGAAGCAACCGCTGACTGGGGCAATGTAGTCTTTTTCAATGTCAATTGGCTTATAGTCTGCAAATCATAGCAAAATTGTATGCAAACATAAATAGGTTATAATTGCTAACAAAATTTCACTTAATAATCATTGTATTTACTCACAATTTTGGGCGTAAACTGAGGATCACTCTTCAGCAGCGTACACAAGTTAGTCAGTATTTTACTATTAGGACTAGGATTTCTATCACACACCTGATGCATTAGCTGCACCAGGAATTCCGCTGAAAGTTGTTGCAATAACTCACACTCTTCTCGTTTTATCGACTCCATAAGCGGTTTTACAACCGGATTCAACTTCTCTGGTAAGCATTGCATGCAGACAATGGCACCCGCCAATGCCGCTTGTGCGCTTATATTATAGGCGCATTGTTCTGCTGAAGTCTGCGCGAAAGAGGCTCGCAAGCCACGCCTGCGTTCCTCAAGTGTTTCGTGTAATTTTGGCTTAAGCCCATAGCGACTAAACCCCTCGGTCAGGGTGGTGGCAATTGCCTCTATTTGATCTAATGTGAGAACGCGACCAAAATTTAAATCATTTATGGGTATTTTGTATTGCTTCAATGTAGCAATGAGATCATGAGCCTCCTGGTGCAACCTGAGAAAATACAACTGAAAGTATATTCATGTAGGTTTAAACGCTCACAAAATTACCTTGTAAACGAAACGGCTACTTCGTCATAGTAGACATACTCCATGACACACGTGCGTAATTTCTCTGCCAGCTTCGGTGCGGCTAGGCGCATGGAAGGATCTATTTGTGCCCAGAATGCGATGATCAGACCTAAAAAAGAATTCCAAGCATGAAGGGTGAAGTCAGTCAAATTAAAGACCACAAATTAGTGGGCTTAAGCTACTCTACGGAAGTAAAACTTTTCTCGATTCATTTCTAATTTCTTATTGGAAACATTTTTCGTGGGAATTTTATTTTTATTGCCGCAGCTGATGTTGCACTTCAAAAGAATATAAATATAGTCTGTTCCAATAGCAGTCCGGTTTACAGGATTTAGTCAGAACTTACAGGAAGTCGTTCCTATTGACATAAAACCTGTAAGTGGGAACACATTTGAGAGAGTAACTGAGCAACTGTTCCTAGTCAGAAGTTACAGGATATAGTCCGGAGATTTTTTTCCTGTAAGTTCATGAAAAGTGTCAAACGATCAGCTGATTTACATGTGCAAACAAAAACAGAAAGCGGTGAAAGCAAAGAACCTTATATTTGTTAAAAAATGGAAGTAAACAACGAAATATTTAAATATGTATAGATTTTAATGATTAATTAGTGATATTTCAGCCAAATCAGTGTAGTACCAATGACATGTAAACAAACCGTCTGACGTTTTTACAGGAAATAGTGCTTTTTGCGTTCCTATGCACTTCTGCATCTGTTCTCCTTTTACTCTCTTTTGAGAGCGTAAAGTTGTAGTTTGACAGTTCCACAGGTTTTAGTCCGAAGTTCAAAGGAACAGACTAATAGTCTGTTCCAATAGCAGTCCGGTTTACAGGATTTAGTCAGAACTTACAGGAAGTCGTTCCTATTGACATAAAACCTGTAAGTGGGAACACATTTGAGAGAGTAACTGAGCAACTGTTCCTAGTCAGAAGTTACAGGATTTAGTCCGGAGTATTTTTTCCTGTAAGTTCATGAAAAGTGTCAAACGATCAGCTGATTTACATATGCAAACAAAAACTGAAAGCGGTGAAAGCTAAGAACCTTTTATTTGTTAAAAAATGGTAGTAAACAACGAAATATTTGAATATGTATAGATTTTAATAATTATTCAGTGATATTTCAGCTAAATCAGTGTTGTACAAATGACATGTAAACAAACCGACTGACGTTTTTACAGGAAATAGTGCTGTTTGCGTTCCTATGCATTTATGCATCTGTTCTCCTTTTACTCTCATTTGAGAGCGTAAAATTGTAGTTTGACAGTTCCACAGGTTTTAGTCCGAAGTCCAAAGGAACAGACTATATATGTTTTTTTTTTTTTGATTATGACTCACCGCATACAATGCGCTGCACTGCCGACCGCGAATTTAAGTGCCCCAACAACACTTTTGTATAACAATCCATGGGGGACTCCATATTTGGCGTATAAGTCACTCCTGGAGCCGGCTGCACCAGATATTTCGAGAGCGCGCCCAGCACTCGTGCTGCCGTTACACGCGCACGCACCACATTACGCTCACGAACATCCAATGGGGTCGCCTCATTGCCACCAAGAAAGTATCTTTGCGGTGCTGTACTGCTCATGGAGTGGCCACCCAAATCATCGGCATTACGCTGCGCCCGTCGTCGGGATGTTACAGCTGCGTTTGCATCGGCTGATGTGGCTAAGGGGCTTTGCGGCACAGCGGAGGTGTGTATTAGAATGGATGAGTCGAAAGCAAGCCTGGCTGGCTGCATGGCTAAGCAAATCCACGACGAAACGACCGGACAGGCGGCATGCAATAACGCTCCCAAATCAGCGTTAAACAATAGATTTTTCCAAACTTCCGTTGCCATCTCCTGTATATCTGACTGAGGTTCGACTAGAATGCGTTCGTAAATGAAGCGTAGCGCGTCCTGCAACAGTTTCCACTGCCAATCGATGACGCCTAGATTTAAGTTTAATTTTTTGGAATCGAAATTTATGGCAATGGCCAACTGCGGCATATTGGTAGAGTCCTGACCCACGGCGTTACCATTATTATTTGCGGTTGTGCTAAGTTTTGTGCTTGTGGAGGGAGTGGCACTGGTCATGGCTTCAATTTGGTCCTTATTCAAATTGCAACTGGTGAGAGTTTGGAGTGTCAGTAAAGTCGATTTTCGCACCGAACTGGTGCTATGCGAAAGAAAGGGCCAAAGTCGCGGCACCAGCGTGGACATTGGTTCCATTCTACATAATTTAAGAGAAAAAGAAAGTTGAAATTATTATTTTTTAATTTTTTTGTGTTATGAAAAAAAAAGCACTCACTGAATCCAAAATCCGGCACTGGGTAGACACAGTATTGCCGCTAGCAGTCCCATAAAACTATTACATGCGCTCGTCAATTCATCCTGATCCAGGAGTAGATCCCACAGCATCTTCACAATCGACGAGACCTGAACTGGATTTAACAATTTCGGCAACCAGGTTGCAATCGGAATCAGAGTCGATGCGGCTACGGCGCCCACATCATCTACGGCATCGAATAATGCCAACAGTATGTCGTTTATTGATTGCGGCACATAAATCGTCAAAAGATCTTCGCGCACTACAAAGACATACTTCAAACCCAGTAGGCCGCCGTGACGGACTTCCCACTCCTTCTGCTTCAGCAATTTAATCAACAACTGCACTATTTGATGCACTTGCTCTGCATGCATTTCTTTTACAATAGTTCCCAGCACCTGCGCACATGTTTCACGTACTGGCGCCACCACCTGATCGGATACAAAGTCACCGAAACGATCCAGGCACAGTACGCACAGCAGACGCAAGGCAGCATCCTCCATCCAGAGATTGTGATGTTGCTGCATCTCTTCACGTGTCATACCGATACATTTGCCTGCACCGCTGGCGTGATTATTAATAAGCTCACGCAAAGCTGTCGCTGCACCGTGACGCACCTCCCATCTCGGGTTGAAGAGGTCGACATAGAGACGTGCACAAAAGTTTTCCAATGGCCAATTGAAGGCATCAATCCACATACCAGTCGCATCCGGCACGGGATCTGCAGACGGGGGGGGCATGAATTACATAGGTAAAGTCTACATATTTTAACTTTTTGTTATTTGTACTTACCATTTAATGTATAGAAAACCTCCTGTCGCTCTAGCGCATCTGCTTTCAATTTTTTGCGTTCTGGTTCGTCGACCATACTGGCACCATTTTTACCGGTTCCCATGCCACTGCTGTTGCTGTTATTGCTTCGACTTAAACTATTTGCAGTCGCATTTACACCGCCGCCACTGGTTGTTGTATTTATATTTTGTCGCGCTTTGCGCTTGGCGCGATTCATTTCACGGCAGCTAAGCTGTTGCCCATTGGAAGGAATCAAATTGGAATTGGGTTTTATATTCAGTATATCCTCAACGGGCACCTGTCGGACGGGTAAAAATGATAAATAAGCGTAAGAAAATTGCATGGAGGCAACCCAATTTTCGCAAGGCTACCATTGAAGTTTAAACAGCGATAAGGTCAACCCAAATTGTATGTGGGAAAAACTAAACTAAGGACATTCAACTAAAAGCAAGATCCATCATCCCCTATTGTAGCTAAATAGAATTTGGTTTCATTTAGTGCGCCTCTTAATCGCTTTATTTAGATCGACCTAAACACTTTTTCCTTCTCAACAAAGATTTCATATCATTCAAGTTGCCATTATTTACCTTCTCCTCGTTGGCATTGTAGTTGCTTCCGGTACTCATTACATCCTCATCTGTTATCATATCCGTCAGATTCACGCCCAACTTCGAGGCCTGCGTCAGCCCTAGTTTCTCATTGAGCAGCGCACGCTGTCGACTCAACCGCTCCGCAGCCGTGGCACTTGCATTTGCGCCACTACCACCCGTTGGTGTTGCAGCGCTCTCCGTTTCGTTCAAATCGAATTCAATACCCTCGGAACCGATAAGGCGAGCACCTTTATGCAATATTTGCTCCAAATCGAATTCCGCAAACGATAATAATCGTTCGCGTTGCTGCTGCTGTTGTTGCTGAAGCAAATCTCGACTGCAGCTATGTTCGCTGGAGTTTGTGGCAGTGGTAGCCACCGATTGACAGCTATCGTCCTCACCACCACCACCACCACCACCCGTAATGGAAGCTACTGCAGTCGAATCTTCGTCCCTTTCCTTCTCCTTTTTAATGGTCTCACGTTTTATGGCCGCGTATAATTCCGGTCTCCAAGCGGGTACATTTTGCAATATCGCCTCTACGGCTTGTGAAGCGGCGATGCGAGTGTCCCACGAGGTGCTGTGCAAGTATCCGATTAGACGATTGAGAAGTGCATGCAATTCATGGGGGTACAACTTCTGTACTTCGCCGATTTGTTTTGCCGCAGCGCGACGTGTTACTGCTGATGAGCCGGACTCGAGCAATATGAAGAGACGATCCAACCTGCAAGCGGATTGGAGAGAACAAGAATGTGTGCAGTGAAATAAGGTATAATCCAATATAGCCAATATCAGAACATGGCCCTCAAGTGCATCAGCCAGCAGCAGAATTTTTGCATACCAATTGTCATTTTTATTGCCTGATATAAATTTTATCAGAGGCACTCCTTTGCGTGGGCATATTTTATCTTGATAAAAGCATTAGTAAGATGGCTATTTTTGCCGGTTTTGATCTTTTAAAAAATTTAGGAAATTTGCTATTTCACATCCAAGTGCATAATAACAAATATTTTAATAGATAACAGCACAATTTTTACTTTTCTATTAAAATATATGTAAATAATGTTGCCCGTCCCGCAATTATCGCGCAAATGAAAATGTAGCTGTGAAAGTTCCAAATTGCTGGCAATAATTATCGAGATAAAAGCTTTGATAATTACACAGGGCACAGACACTGATTTTGGTGCGCCAAATGCTAAAGCTGTTATTGATAAAACTTTTTTGTGCTGATTACGAAACCGTAAGTATAAAGTTTACATCAGATTTCGAGATAAGCGAGGTGAAAGTGTCAAAAAATCGCATTTTTGCAATATTTGAAGAGCTCTAGTAAAGAGAAAAAAAGGTGATAGAACCTTCCGTTCTCCATTGGCAAAATATTGCCTGATAATATTATCAAGATAAAAAGTTTTGCCTGCGGAGGTAGCAACTAATAGATGGTCTGGGATTTAGCTTAAAAATACATGCCACTTCATTGACCTTTTTCTCTGAAGTAAATCCTTTTTTCCCAGACTGTAATAACAATGGTAGAAAGAGTTCGCTCGTATACGGATTTTATTAATCTTTTAGGTTTTACAACGTAGTTAGTTATAATATAAAATAATCGATAATCTTAAAAACTTCTACACAACCATTACTATTAAGGTTGCTGTCACACGTTACATCGACCATTTCCAACTTTTTTTTTCGTAGTTAAACGTTCATTAACATAGGTCGATTTAGGAACTTCAACGATTTCGCGATATTACTGCGAAGAAAGAAAAACTCGGATTTTCTCTTTTTTTGCTCAGAATTAATTTGCGTACTTTTCTTAGTGAGCTTTTGTATAGCTCATTTTGACACTGTTCACAAATTTCATAAAACAAGTGTTGAAGTAATTTGAAGTATTGAATTAACTAACTGCTTCACACATTTTTTTACGGCTACCGTAGCTTCCCAACCCTTGCAATTAAATTTATTTAGTTGTGCGAAAAAATCTATGGAATAAGCAAAAATATTTGACATTTGGACTCACAGAACTGATCAGGCAACTATTTGCTGTTGTCAGATAAGAATTTGTGTACTTCATCTCTCAGTTCTAATCAAAACAAAAAGCGAAGGGAACAAACCGACTGGCTCTCACTTGTAACGGAATATTGTCTGACCGTCTGTAATTGAATTAATAACGGTGGTATTTACGATGCTTATAATATTTCAATGCGTACTTTCAGGCGGAATGGTTTGAAAGGCATTGGGATACATTTTTCGCGAATATGTTGTGAGGAGCAGGGTGCTTGCCAGTTATACTCGTATATGAGAGACATATATATATATATTAGATTTTTTTGTCGTTTAGCGGACCACTTTGGATGTTTCTAGGGTTAAGAACCACTGATCTAACGCGTACGTTCCATACAAACTGCCAGAAACGATTTGGCGAATTTTGGTCTGGATAAATAAAGAATGGAGACGAAAAAAAAACTAGTCAATTGTGTTTGCTCATCACTTACGTAAAACTAACTGTAAATAAAAAGTAGGTATACACATTCATAGGGTATGTTGTCGTTGTTAATTTCACGTCTCTACATTTTGTAACTTCTATGTACTCTTTTCAAAATGTGTGCGGCGAAGTGTGAGCTTTCGGAGAAAATTTTGTGCAAAAAGCATGAAAAAGTATGTGTGAACATGGAAACATACCTCGAAGCAGCCTTTAAGCAGGTTCGGGGCGCTGAGTTTTATAATGCAACAAAGACAAACGGAGTCCAAGATGCTTTCAAGCTAAACATACTGGACAAGCTTCTTGTTTTTGGTTATTGTTTTGTCATAATAAATACTTGGTGTGGCAAGCCATCTGCCAGTGTGGCACGAGAGCAAAAAATCATGACCGAGGGCTCAAATGTAAATTGCGCTATTTTGTTTATAATGAAGATTATTGAAATAAGTTCTTTTGTTTAATATAGTAAGGTTAATAAAGAAGATGATAAAGCAGAAAACTCTTTTCGTAGGTTGTGTAATAAGTTGTTATAATGATTTTCGGCTGACCAAAATTTTTCGTGTCCATACTTTAGCCCAGCAAGGCTTTCAAAATAGTAAACCCAAGCGCACAAATAATTTTAGAGAAATATAACATACATACAAACCAGGGCTGAGGGTTCTATCCGGATAATCCGGTTATTGAAATATTCGAATATCTGTTTAAATAATCCGAATATATGGATAGCAAAATGAACGAATACCGACCGGATATCCGGATTTACGAAACTAAAAATAGCAGAAAAAACTACAATTATTTTTGTAGTATTTACTTTGAACTCAATAGATTCACTAATTTTGAAAACAATTTTACGAATCCGCTGTTCAGAATATTCCGATAAGCAAGTGAGCGTATTTGAACCGAATATCCGAAAATCTGGATTTTATCCGCATGCACGAATATCCTAACGGATATGCGAATATACGGATAGTCCCAGCCCTACAACAAACGTAATTACTCATAAGGAAAATATGTACATACATACAAACATACATATGTATGCACAAAAGATGTTTTCGACTTGGTAGCACGAACTGATGCATGATTTTTACCAAAATATTAAATAATCCCAAAAATCAGTACGTTCTTGCTTTACATCGCTAAATGCTGCAAGCCTTTCAGAAAATGCAAGCAATGCCAGCCGTTTTGGCTTCGCTTCTCTTGTATGTACATATCTGATGTTGTCAGGCTGCTCTTGAAGAGAAGGTTTTTCAGCAGATATCTACTGATCCACAGTTTTACAAAATAAAAAATGTGTTTATTTTACCTAAAAAAAATCGTTTTGTGAAAATTCCAGATAGTGTATTGTATATATGTATGTATGTAAACCCTCGATATACGCACATACATATGTACATATATATACATAGATACATACATATACGTCCGTCACGCTAGCTGACCCACTTCTCCAAAAACTGATAAAAATTATTCAGGAATTAGGTACTATTTAGGTGTTATTTAATAATATAAATAATAGATTGGCGCTTACACATATGTTAGTGTTTGGCCGAGCTTCTCCTCCAACTTGTGGCGTGCGCCTTGATATTGTCACACAAAGCGGAGGGACCTACAGTTTTACGCCGACTCCGAACGGCGATTGTATTTTTATGAGAAGCTGTTTTTCATGGCAGAAATGCACTCGGAGGTTTGCCATTGCCTGCCGAGGGACGACCGCTGTTAAGAAAAAACCTTTTTCTAAATTTTTTGCGATGTTGCTTTGACCAGGGCTTGAACCCAGTTGCTGGTGAGTTAAAGCGCGCACTGCTTACCACTACACCACAGCGGCCGACGGTGTTATTTAGGGCCTCCAAAATTTATTTAAGTACTCACTCGGTTTCAGAGAAAATCGCAAAATTTTAGGGGTCAGCTGACCCACTCACTAAATATCGTCGAACTCTGGTAAATATTATTCAGGAATTAGATGCGATTTAGGTGCTTTTAAGGGCTACCAAAATTAATTTCGGTGCACACTCGGTTTCCAAAATATCCGCAAAGTAGTACCTAATTCCTGAATAATATTTACCAGTGTTCGACGAAAATTAGTGGGTGGGTCAGCTGGTGTGACGTCATGCTGCTGGCTGACCCAAAACACATTTTTGCGAATTTCTCGGAAACCCAGTGTGCACCGAAATTAATTTTGGTGTCCTTTAAAAACACCTAAATAGTACCTTATTCCTGAATAATATTTATTAGTTTTTGGAGAAGTGGGTCAGCTAGCGTGATGGACGTCATATACATATATGTATATATGTATATAGCTTCCCTGCAGGAAATGTATCTAACTGTAAGCTAACTTTAAGTTGACTAGGAAGGAGCTAAAAGTCACTTATTATCTGTATATTTTCTTTGTTGAAAACTAACTATATTTCTATGGCGATGGCCGCGAAATAGTCGTAGGGTGGTTTACCTCTGCAACTAACTTGTAACTAACTCCTTTAGGTCATAAAATGTCAATAGGAAAAACAAAATATTTTTTTTATTTATTTTATTTATGTTTTTTTTTATTTACTTTATCTATTTTATTACATTTCATATTTGTTTCAATATTCTGCCGTAGGTGGTCCCATATTCGGACTACGGCAGACATAACTTCAAAATGATAATATGATACTTATGTCGATCTTCCTTTTATTTGACCTCAATTCGAAAAAGAATTTGCGAAGTGCAGGATATTTAAATAGAAACGTGTTTAAAGAAAACAATCGCGAGCTTAACTCCTGAATTACTTGTCAACTAGTTTCAACTTAGCTTTTCGTAGCTAACTACAAGTTATATATTTTATAGAAATCCCGCAAAAAAGCTAACTACAAGTAGGTTATTTTTTATCAATTGATAATTTTTTTCTGCAGGGTTGTATGTAGTATATACATATGTACGTAACACATACACACATGCACATAAGTATACTGGTACGCAAATTTACACAGCTGCTGGATATGCTTATACATAAATATTAAAAGTATGCATATGTATTTATGTATGTACATTAGGATGGTCCAACATATTTACCCTAGAATTCAAGAATATCAAAAATAAGGAGACACTTATTTTTTATTTCAAAATCGGTTATATTTAACCGTGCCGCCGAATTTTCGAAGTTTTCAGTATACTTAAGTATTTTAGATGGGGAAAACACAACTTTTCCTAAAATTTCTATAAAATCGTTAAAAACAAATATATGTGATCGAATAAGAATATTTCACTTCAGAGATCTTCGAAGCATAAAATGATAATGCATATTTGACTTTAAAATATTACCAACTACTTTTTTTAAGCCCGGCTATCTTACGCCTTTTATAGAAAAATACATATTTTCTTTGTGGTTGTTGTTGTTACCGACAGGGTAGGTGTATGATGTATTTTGGAACGAATTTCCGTCATCCTTTGTCAAACTTGGTTTGGAGTCAAAACCGGTTTCGGCGTTGTGCCATCTTCAGAACGAAAATTGACACTGAAGATGGCACAACGCTGAAACCGGTTTGTCTCCAAACCAAATTTGACAAGGTATGACGGAAATTCGTTCCAAAATACAAAAATACGTATGTTATTTTAATTATTAAAAGTTTATTATGAGTGCCAAGCCACGCTAAGAGACTATAAATGAATTAAAACAAAACACCCTTTCAATTGTTTTGAAAAATAAACATTTTTTAAGCGACATTGTTTTAACTCGTTTTAGCTTCTTTTTTTTTTGTGTGTTAGTAAGCACATTACGCATATTAAGAAAAAATTTATGAAGATTTCTAATGGAAAAATATTTAGTATATTTAACGAATCTATGGCAATTCTACGAAAAAATTTATTTTCCTCATATAAAATATATGGAAAAGTTCAAATGCCCGGCGACACTAGTTACATAGTAACCGATTTTAAAATAAATAAGAATGCGGGTATTCTTATCTTCGATATTCTTCAGTACTGGCGGTAGAAGCAGAAAAGTTCCAAAAAGTTGATTTTACTGTCCATTTTTTTACCACCGTAATGTACATACATACATATATTCTTGCTCATGTACATATGTAAACAGAAATTCATAATATAAAGAAGTCTGTTCTCCACACTTACCGCGATGTCATTGTTCAGCTCCGCTGTTGACTTATTTCTGTTTTACTTTTAATGCCACGCAAAATCTGCTTGCTTTTTATCGGTCGAGATCTATCCTCGCGTATCTATGTATGTATGGATGTATGTATATATGTGTGTGTGTGTATTAGCTAGTTATTACTAAATGTTCCAGTTTGCATACGCCATAAAGCACCTCCTCTCCTCTGCTTCTGATACACTTATGGAACGATCTTTGGTTTTTGGCCAGACTTAAGATTTGAATACTTAATTAAAATTATTATGTGTGCATTTATGTATGCAGATACGCATGTATGCTTGCGTTTTTGATGCAGTTTACCGACAAATGGCTTCTTCTCTCCTTCCTTTTATCTGCAATATTAAGTAAAAACGTTTGAGTAAATTTCCCAAAGTAAAGTTAGCTACATATTTCGGTAAATATTTGAAAATAAAAAATGCATACAAAATCATAAATATTTATAGAGCTTATTGCTGTGGTAGCAGATTACTAAGCACTGCCTGAATCAATGAATTTGCGAAATGTCAATTGCATCTAACTGTGTATGTTAAGGAAACGGCACGATTGGACCTTAAAGCGCAGTTAGTCAACGACGTAACGTAAACGTAGGTTGACATACGTAGCAGCATATCAAATTTGCTGTTGATAGAGAGAGAGAGAAGCAACGGCAACGTCACCGCCATGCGGTGGTGAGTTTTCGTTAACACGCGAATCGCATAAGGTAGATCGTGTCTGCGTCAACCTACGTCTACGTTACGTCGTTGACTGTTTGAGCTTTTAGGGATAGGTGTATTAAATATGTTTCGTTGGAGTGGACATGTGAAGAGGTGGATATTCTGGTACGGGGCATCTTCATATATTCGACATATTTATGTAGATATGTACATAGATATACATATATACGAAAGTGTATCAAAATTACGCAACTCAAGCTCTTCGTCTGAGATAGGTGATGCCATTCGTGGGAAAAAGTTCATAATGGTCGTCCGATTCAGCGGATGATGTATACATATAACGTTAGCTTAATTACAGAGGTCGAAAATGCACCTCTCCACTTTGAAAGTGTCCCAAAATAACCGTCACACTATTTAATAGAAAAACTAACCCACAAAACAGAACAGGTGGTTTATTTTTTATAGATGTGTGCTCCTCTCAGTGGGAAGACGGAAATTCGTTCCAAAATAAATCATCATACCACCCTGTCGGAAAAATCAACCAACACCAACCAACACACCTAGACTTGACTTGACTTGAAAATCGTAAATCTGCCCAGCCTGCAAAATCATCGTAAACGAGCTCGTAACTGGGTATTTTCTCGAAAAAAAACCGGCTAAAAAGTCGTTTATGATAGCCGTTTACGAAACGTTTTCGAGTACGTTTTCGAGTACGTTTTCGCTTGAAATTGTCGAGCACCTACGAACAGTCGTAAACGGATGGAAAAAGCATTCGTATGCGAATATTAGGGCTGCGTTTCTTTATACATTCCAGATAATCCCATTTCACAGAATGCGTTTGAAATATACGTATGTACGTTGACATATCATCAGGAACGTTCTAAAGAATAAGTAAACAGAAAAATTTATTCCAAACGTTCAGAATGAATAAAGAAATGCAGCCTATATATTATAATATATTGTGGTTCAAGAAAAATTTTCAACAAAATGAATTTAAAAAATGTCAGTTACGCGGTTTTGCAGAACGACGATACACGGTTTTGTACTATAAACGACGATATGTAAGTATAATTTTGATCACATTCTTCATGCGTTCTGAAATCTAGTCGTCAAGCCCATTTTCAAAATCCGGCAATTTTCAAAAATCTGCTTTAAAAAAAATATTTCCTTAAGTGATCAGGCAGCATGAATTTGATCAAATGTCATAATTTTATTAAAAGTCAAATGTATGTTTTCTTGTTTTCTTGTATTAGCCAAAAAACCAACTTCACTTAGAAACATGGAGAACTATAGATTTTTGATTTATAAGTTAAATTTCTAAGTGCAAAGAGAGTTGTGAGAGAATCATGCTGCCATTTCATTTTTTAATAAAATCCCTATGTCACACAAATATAATTTTTCGTATAAATGTAGAGTAATTCATCTGGCAATCGAAAAACAAACATTCAAATAAAGACAGAATCAGAATAAATCAGAAACAATCGCAATTTGAATCGCGTTTGGTGTAAAACCAAATTAAACTTTTACAATTTTAAGTGTAGATACAAATACAAGTACTGAAAATGAAAACAAACAGGACACAGGTAATAAGTAGGTGACACGCTGAGTATTCGCGTCTAAGTTTCTAGGTAAGTCAAGTCAAGTGTATGGGCTGGTTTTTCCAACCCAACTTGACTTAGTTTAGCCAATTTTTTGGATTAAGTCAAGAATAAGCTGAATAAAAAGTAGGCTAACTTTTGACTTAAGTTCAAAAAATGGCTAAACTAGGTTTAGTTGAGTGGGAGAAACCAGGCCTAAGTCTTGCATAACCCAGCTTTTAATAACAAAAATTTCAAGCAAATAAAAAGATATCAAAAATCAAAGTAACCTTACTCTTGCTCTTTATGATGCTAAAATTGAATATGCTATAAAAGTGGATACCAAAAATTTTTCAAGAAATTTTCAAGTTTTGATAAAACTTTGTTAAATATTTGTAATTTTTTTACAAAGTGTAAAGTTCGGACTCATGTATGCATATGGTTTTTGTTTGAAAATAAGCTGGAGTTTCATACAGAATTGAAAAATATTAAATAAACAAAAGAAAAATAGCCAAAACGTGTAAAAATGCCCCTAATTTTTTTCACCACTGTATATTGTACAATCATCGCAGAACTATAAATGCCAGGCAGCTTTTGAGGACTACACGGCGATATTTATGAACAAATAAAAATGCAGTAAAACAGAAAATACTTAATTCATAAAAACAATGAATTTTGAAATATTTCAACGTTTAACGAGCGGCGACAATGAAAACGGTATTATTATGGGTAAGTAAGTTTCAAAGCACACGTTCTTAAAGATACAAATATATGTACACATACGTACATACATATATAGATATATAATATTAATAATAATATTATAATAATAATAATATAATAATATTATTATTATTAATATTATGTAAACATGTATACCTCGCTTCACTTGAATAAGTACATTAATATTCTTCAAGAACCCAGCTTATTTGATGAATGAATTATAAATTTTTAAGAAAATTCAAGAATGAAAAGGAAATACCTTACAATCAAAAAAAGGCATGCACTGAGGAAAGAGTAAAGTTAGGTCAACCAAATATGTTTATCCCAACAAATCGTTGCTAATAATTATATTAGTTGGTTATAATTACCAAACCTTGTGTTAAAAGAGATATATGTACTTATCAGACTCAACCAACTCGAAATAATTTTCGTACAATTTAAACCGGGTAAATATGTATGTATAGTGTGGCCACTGAAAAAAATATATATTTTGCTTTATTGGCTTTGTTTTTAGAGCTCTTGTGGAACGAATCGAACCAATTTTTAACCGACTTCAAAAAAGGAGGAGGTTATCAATTCGTCGGATTTTTTTTTTGTATGTATGTTACCGCATAACTTCGGACTATCGGAAAGGTGGCAACTCAAGGGTGGTCTCATACTAATTTAATGGTTTAAATCTGATCATTGGGTCATTGGAAATCAACGATAATATTAAATTTTTATATGCCAACTAAAGTCGGTTTTGTTTTTTGCTTGAAAATTACTTGTTTGTTGGTATATTCAAGAAACCGTTCCGAGAATGTGTGATAGTAAATGTATTTCTCCCAACACATGATTTCGTAACTATTACCAAATAATGTAACTGTAACCAATTCATATGTGTGTGACAGAAACATACATAATGTACTTAGTTGACGTATCTAAGCTCTTTTGTCAGTGTATGTTTTACATTATTTCCAATATTTAAAATCTTAGTTCATTTGTTCTAAAATTTAGATTAGTTTTTTGATTTTTAGGCGAATTTTTGCAAATGTTTTCAAAAAAAGAGGAGACTGATCAAAAGCTCACGAGCACAAACCCCGTTTTTTTTCGTGAAAGAAAATGCACGACAAATTAAGAGATGGATACTTATTCATAAAAAACAAAGTCGATTTTAAAAGCTTTATGAAGTGACATTTTCATAAAAATTTTCGATTTATGTACCTATAAAGCTTTAAAGTCTTTTTTCCAAAACCGCCCGAAAAAAGTGAGAATCATAAATCACTCTCTCACAACGACTTTTAAAGAGACCGAAATCCCACAAAAGAAAGAAAATTCGGGCCGATTTGAGCTTCGCGGGGAGTATAACATCGTGCTTCAGATCAACAAAAACTTTAAAACTTAAATCTTATTTCTGTTTGCAGAAGAGTCTGAATAAATTGAACTTATTGGATATGTTCATACGATCTTGGGCACTGGATCCGCGACTTGCTTAATTTTAGGGTTTTCTGCAGGTGAAAGCGCGCCTGCTATTAATCCATTCTCGCTCTTTAACAATTGAAATGGTCCATAAATGTTTTAACCTGGCTGTACCCATAACACGGCCGCTTAAGCCGAGTGGTTAAAGTAGCGTACCATCACTACGTAGGACCTGGGTTCGATCCTTTGTCCAAGCAACATCTAAAAAATATTATAACCAGTTTTTTTTTTAACAGCGGCAATGCCAAACTTCCGAGTGCATTTCTGCCTTGAAAAAACCTTCTCATAAAACCATTCGCTATTTGGAGACGGCATAAAATAAGTAAGCTCGGCCAAATACGAGGGCAATGTGATATATGTTTGTGCTTGTTCGAGGTACGTAATAAAAGCGGCAATACAGCAGCACTGATGAAAAATTGCAACTTCCCAATTGATAAAACGTTGCTAGGAATTGACACCGAATATTCGCACAAACAAGCCCTTTTTAACCGACTTCCAAAAAAAGAGGAGGTTATCAGTTCGTCGGATTTTTTTTTTTTTTTTTTTTTTTATGTATGTTACCACATAACTTTGGACCACGTCAACCGATTTCGATAATTCTTTTTGCATCGGAATGGTAGTGTCTCAATACTAATCTGGTCCGATCAGTGGATCATGAGGTATATATATTTATGTATATTTTTTATATGAGAGTTGAAGTCGGTTTTTTTTTTGCTAAAAATTACTTGTATTTTTCAACATAGTCTCCTTCTAGCTCGATACTTAAGGTGCAGCGTTTTTTATTTTATATTTTCTAATTCCTTCCAAATATGTAATAAGTTTTTCTAGGTCTTCCAAATAAAGAGTTTATTTCAGTGATGGCCTCTTCATTCGACAAAAATCTCTTACTGCTCAGTCATTTCTTTTGGATTTGGAAACATA